TTCCTTGAAGTTTCTTCCCCCCTCTCCCCCTCCTGGACACTCTCGGATGTACCTCGCCAAGCCCTTCTGGCCAGCAACGATTCCTCGCCGATGGGGTCTGCCAGGGCACAGAGAGGCATTTTCCGGCGTCGTGGCATCGCCTCCGTCACAGGAGTCTGAAGGATTGCCAACCGAGATGGTTGTCATCCAACGACTGATGCCATCGTGTTTTCTTTTTCCTTGCTGAGTGAGCCTTGGCCTCTCTGCTGTCTGCTCCAGTGAGCGCTTTGGTCTCCATCTCCGGATACATCTGCGTGTGTTGCCAGCGAGGCCGTCATCTCATCTTCACACACGTTGGCACAAGTCGTTGCTGTCGTCTGGTAATCTTGGTCCATCACCTGCATTTCATCACATTGATCGGCCGTTCCTGTCATTCTCTAGTACAGATGAACCGGTGCGGCGGGAACTGAAGCCACGCGCTGCCGTCTCGGCGTTCACCCAAAAGGCATAGCCAGCACGGCTCTCCCGCGCACTCCCTTCCAACTTCCGTCCGGCTGCGTAACCCGGCGTCCCATGGCAGGGGGGGTCTAGTCGGTACTGGCCGGCACATGTTACCCAGTCTTCTCACCAGTCCGTGGCTCGACCAGGGGCCAGAGCTTTAGGGCCAAGGGGGAGAGGGGGAGAGGGGGAGAGGGGGAGAGGGGCCTGCTCCGAGTACCTACTCGACACCTCACTGAGTCCAAGGAAAGCCCCCGTCATGGGCCGAAATGGTCTTGACCAGCTACGAATCATGAGCCGCGGCGCTAATTTGTGTGCTGGAGCGCCGGGCTGCCTCGAATCGCGCGTTTCTACCACTTGTTCTCTCCAACCTGTCAGGGTACGCCACGCGGAGAGGTCTCCTAGTGTCAGGTACCAGGCACAATCAGCAGCTAACCGGCCAATAACACTCTTCAACAGACTTCCGGAAAGCTGACGCACATGCAGGATGGGAGGAAAAAACAAAAAACCGCACCAAGGGCTGACGTCCGCCGCCGTTCCTGTTGCCAGCATGCACTCGCAGCCTGCAGACGTCGGTGTACCGAAATACATACGCCTTGTCCTTCGTCACCCTGGCACGCCTGGCCCCCGAAATCCCTCGACAGCCTGCTGCCCAGTCCGTGGGTGTTTCTTTGGCGCCAGGTACCCGCACACACTGCCGCGTCGATTCCGTGCTCCTGCCGCACAGCCAACTCCCGACGGAGGGCGCCCTGACGCTAGAAACGAAAAGGAACTCTAGACACAGCCTGGAACTCCAGAAATAGGCGCAAACACACTGGGAATAAGTCTGACAGAACGAAGAACCATTAGAGATGTTTCTGAAAACATTATGGGCGGGCTGCCCCTGTTCCAGCTCCAGACGATCCATGAACCACTCGTCTAGATCCAGGACACTACTAACTCTAGGACAGAACTCCGGGACAACGTTGTGCTCAAACCTTGTCTAGTGCTCTCGAGCCGAAAAGGATGGCAGACGTGCTGGTCCAGACCGAAAACTCTGAGCTTGGTGAGGCCATTAATTCCACGGGCACGTCCAATCATGGTTGACAAGTTACAACGACTTGTACAAGTTACAATCATGGCGCCCAAGTATCCTAGCCCACTCTCCGATGGAGGCTGCTCCATGTAACTCTGGGAAACACCCTCGGGCTGATGTCCCCACCGCGGTATACAAACGTTCCCACCCGTGGACGTCCTTGTTGACTCCTTGACGCCTCCGGCTCCGCTCCCCACTGCCATCTCACGAGCAAGTCCTTTCCAGGCTTTTCTCCCACATCCTTCTGACATGCGTATAAGTATGGTCCGGTTCCCACGAGACCTTCCCTTTCCCCGGTTTTGATTCCCCATCCCGCATCACTATCCTTCCAGTGGCCGAGCCTCACACTTTGTCTTTTCAGACAGCAGCATTCTTTTCACACACACGAAGCTTTTCACTCCTTTGAAAGCTCTCATCCACTCAACGGCCCCGGTCCGTTCAGAAACAAACTCACAAAACCAAGCTCGAGTCCATCACCACAACACCCATCCAGGGCAACTCAGTTCTCAAGATTCGCTAGACGCATATCATAGAACCACCTTCAAATCATCTTGAACCTGTATAACCGTTGTTGACAACGTTTACGGGACCCTTTCAAACAAACTCATTTTCAACTCATCAAACCGCTTTCCGGCACTTACACACACTCTCACAAACAAATCCCTTTTCCACAACTCAAAATGCAGTTCAACCTTCTCGCTCTCCTCGGCTCTGCCGCTCTCGTTGCCGCCAACACCGTCACCTTCAAGGGTCTGGACGACGTCTCCCGTACTGTCCACTTCACTCCCAACTCCGGTCTCGCCTCTGTCGACTCCGTCGAGGTCCCCGCTGGCGGCGAGGTCACGGTTGACATCCCCGATAAGTGGATCGGCAACTGGTACTCCGTCTCCAAGGGCTCCGAGAACGTCGCCGGCATGCTCGGCGAGGTCGCCTTCAACGGCTGGAATGGCCTGACCTACTTTGACGTCTCCGCCATTGTCAACCCCAACGACCACAACGGCGTCAAGAAGATGTGGCCGGCCAGCGGCGACGAGCCCATCTCCGGCTGCGACTGGTGGCCCTGCAACAACGCCTACTACCTCCCCGACGACGTCCAGACCAAGGTCACCTCCGAGACCGACCTCATCTGCACCCTGGGCAACAACGGCGTCACCTCCCGCCGCGACGTCGACGACCACCACCAGTCCCCCAACTACAAGCGTGACTTCGTCATCGGCAACTAAGCTTTCTCTTCGGGAACACAGATCCGATCTTTTGCCTTCCTTTTTTGGCTACGTTTAGAAGAAGAGGAGTTCACGCCGCGGCGTCGATGAAACTACATCGGCCAACCGCGCGGGCTCGCGCTGTGCGCTTACGACTTTATGACCCCTAACAATGAGAGCGGACTTCTTTTTTTGTAGAAGCTCCAGTATCATCTGTTATTTTCACTTGCACAAAAAAAGAGATACCCCCATCACAAGGAGCGCGGCTACGTGTGTGGGCTTAGCGGGGGATCAGGGGAGGTCAAGTTTTTTGGGATATTGATCCAATTTGTTTGGAAACATTTTTTCAACTCGGGGGCGTACGGTCAATCAGAGAACGGAGCAATTGGAGCAATCTAGGCGTTTCTTCTCTATTTCCCCCCCGCGAGAGAGACCTATCTCGGCTTCGATATCTCATCCTTCCATGGAAGTTGAGGTATCATGGGCTTTGGTCTCGTTCTTGTTTAGCTTCACTTACACGACTTTTGGGGTACACCATCTCCTCACAGTTGTGGAGGCAGACAAAACCATTCTAGTCGCTCCTTCAGACACACGTTTAGGAATCTTTTGTTTGTTGTAAACAACAACAACTTCTTGTATTTACTAGGGCAGAGAGAAGTTCCGCCAGAAAGAAAAACAAATCAAAAACGTTTGAGCGTCAAAAACATTGTTACCATCCGTGCCAACTTTTGCCAACCTAATTCCCTCCAGTTGCTGTTATTCAATCTTGTTTAGTTGCCCGGTTGGAGGTGCTCGGTTGGAGACCCTCCCCGGGCCCCCCTTTCCTTGTTCATTATGAGCTGAAATGAAGGGGTGTGCCAGTTCTAGCCGGGGTCCGCGCTGGGATGGCATGTCTGTTCATGAGGAACAAGTCTGTGCCATGGAATAACTTGTTTCCCCCCCCCCTCCTAAAGAGAATTAGACCCCCGTTTGGGAAACAAGGTGCGTTGTGCACGGAAGAACTCTGAGCCATTTCGCCCTGGCCTCGAAGGAACTATTTCCCTTTACAGGGGAAGGCAGGCAGAGACGGGAGAAGCAGAAATAGAAAGAGGGAAAGTCGAATACGTAGTAGGTCGGATTAGGAAAAAAAGCAAAGAAACATGCAAGGTTTCCAGCGTCCACGGGAGAGTGTTGACCAAGACATCACCACCACCTCCCTTGAAGGAATACGACATCCGTTCGCTCCCCGACCTTTGCACATCTTAGTTACATGTGCTGTTCGGCACGTCTCTTTGCTTCTTCTTGTTCAGTGTTTCCGTCCCGTGTCTTGGGATGAACCCAAACGGAAACGGGCCACACGGACCACCACCGGCAACCCCCAAAGTCTCAACGGGCGCTGGCGCGCGCCCACCCCTGGGGCTAGAGGTTCTGCGTTTCAAGACACGCGCAACGTCGCACCACGCAGAACCTCTTTTTTTTTTTTTTTCGTTGACCACCACCAACCCTGGTTAGTTTCCTCGGGTACTCAGAGGTGGGGGGTCGGAGAAGAGTCAAGATACTGGCAGTGTTCAATGGTGGGGATGGAGGCAGACTTGGACGACGTGGCCTAGGGGGTTTGGTCTTGTTTGGAAACAAAGACAAGTACGAATACTCTGAGTACTCGATGGGGTTTGGCCACTGGCCCCCAAAAGGGCAACGTCAGCACAGCTGCCAAAGCCACCTTTGACAGTCGTCAGCCGACACCCACTCGTTGATCAACTTGACCCAGACTCCGATACAAGCCTCCCCTCCGAAATGAGACCATGAATCAGAAGAAGGGGACTGGAAGTGGGAGAGGTATTCTTCTTTCGAACAGTTTGAAGCCGTTAGGTAGGGATGGACCAAACCATCCCGGCTAAATCGGGTTCTCTTCAAGTATTGGAGGTCCTGACTTCTTCGGCTTTCTGGTGATCCTCAATGCATTCTTTATCTAGCCCTGCAGCATTCGTGCTCCCCCGGGTAGAACTGCGTTTGACATATCTTGACATGCGTAACCTGCGGGCCGAGAAGGGGAGCCCGCGGGACTGGGTGTAATGAGGTGATACACACAAACACACACATGAAGGGATACCACAGCATGAACAAGACAGCCCTCGCGAGGACGTACAAACTTCCATTTGACAGCACCTCTTCTTTGAACCCCGCGGTACCTGTTACAAGGGGGCCGCCCAAGGCTGTATTGCTCGCCCTCTCCTAACCCGCCTTTGCTCTCAAGTAACCTACAAACATCATGGCGCCTGCTTACTCTCCTCCTCTCCACCCCTTGGCGACGGCGACTCCGTCTTACCCGAGTCCTCCGCACTCTGCCGGCTCTCCGGCTCGGCAGTCGAGTTCCTAGCCGAGACCGTCGTCTCCGATCCCCCGTCGGCCGCTTGCTTCTCCGGCGGCGGTGATGCTACGGCGCTCTTGATTTCCTTGGCGTTGATGAAGCTCCTCAAGTACTCGCCCGCATCCCCAAACCCGTCTAGCTTGCCGAGCTTCGTGATGAAGAAATCCACGTCTCGGAGCATCCTATTTGTCCATATCGTCAGCAATTTCGTTAGAGAGACTATTCAGGGGAGCGCGAATCTTACCTATCGCGGCCAATGACCGTCTTCGAATCCGCCATTTCAAAGACCCTACCAAACTGATCCTTGTAGCTTGAGAATACAGGTCCCATGATGAGCTGTACCGAGGTCTCGGGCAGGTGCTTAGTCAATACGCGGTGCAGGGTCGTGGTTTCCTTGGCCAACGTCTCCATGTACGTATGAACCGACTGGCTTCCATCGTGATCCCAGTCAATTGCTTTCATGGATTTCGAATGCTGCGCCGCGCGACCGCTCATGATCTCGACCAATTTGTCGTAGATGCTGTTCTGATGCTCTTGGAAGAGGCGCCTAACCTTATCAAATTCTCCCATCAGACTAGAAACACCGGCTCCAGAGCCGGCGTGCCGCCGCACAAACTCCCGAATGTGGGGTATCAAGGTCGCAATGAACGACAGGGCCTGGGAGGCCAATGCCAAGTGCCTGGTCGTGATGTTTTTGAGACCGGCAGATCGAGTGGCACCTGCACCGAGGATGAGCTGGGTACAGCGGGAGTTGAAAAGCTGCAGGTAGCCAATAAGGGAACTGGCGACGTCGGTTGCCATGGACGGAATGCTGCCGATGAGATGCATGAAGTGCGAGATGCCTTCAAGACCAAGTATGGCGGAATTGGGGAGCAAGAACGTTTCGCTTTCAATCTCTGCAACACGCGCCTTTTCTTTACCACTCGTTCCGTTCGTCTCCGGAGGCGGTGCTGCACTTCCATTCGATACAGCGTCGTCAGGATTTCCTTCCCAGATCTTCGTCCCTTCTGACCAGGCTGCGGCGTCTTTGGTACTACTTTCGAGGACCTGATCAAGGAGAGCCTTGTTCTTCTCATCGAAGTCTTTGGCGCTCCATTGGTCGGACTCCATGCCTTGAGCTAGCTTCTGCTTCTCTGCGTCGCCATGTTGCTGCACGAATTCCTTGATATGGCCATTGACCAAGGTTTTGAGTGCCGTGCCGCTGCGTCCTGAAAGCGCTTCACATTCGTTGGCGAAGAACAGGTTGAGGGTAAAGTAGCGAAGGAACCAAGACAGGCTAAGGTGCGTGCTCTGCTCCGATCGTACTTTCAACACCCTGACAATCTTGTCCTGCGCAACATCGACGGCCTGTCCAACCAGGTTGGCAATGTCCATTGCCTTGTGAATCTCTTCTTGGACCTCGAAGCTCGGAGACTCATCAAATCGGGGAAACTCCCGGTCGAAAGGCGTAGGACTCGCGAGCGGAGAGCGAATAGGTGGCGACTTCAACCCGGCAGCTGTTGCTTCTTCCGTCAGACAGCTTGCGATGTCGAGAAGCACCTTGACCTGGGTAGTCAACCGCCGGAGGGTTTCGGTAACGCCAATGTAGATCGACTTGAGTAAGTCTTCTGCATCCTTAGGGTCCAGTGCCCTCAGGTTCCTTGACAAAATCGATGACTTTTCCTGATTCGAGAGGTGTTTTCCGCCGCTCATCGTGGAGGCGGACATCATTGACTCGTTATCATCATCGTTGGAGCTAGGTAGCGGTCTCCTGATGAGGTTTTTGATCTCACGTAGAACAATTTCCCGGTAAGCTGCGATTGCAGCGGATATATGGTGAGCCCTGTGCAGACCATGAAGATTGGGCATGATTGCTTTGCGCAATTCTTGTGTAGAGGCAAGATAAGCTGGTGGGCCGGCAGACTCTCTTGACGTGCCTCCCCTTGCCCGCAGCGATGAGCTGCCCCAGCGAAGAAGAACCTCCCGGCTTTGGACCGACTCAACATGCCTCCGTAAATCAGCTAGCAACAAGCTCTGGAACTTGGATTCATAGGCTTTTCCGATCCGGGACCGTAGTTGTTGTAGGTCGTCATTGACGCTTTGCAGAGCCGTCGCTCCCCTCAGATCCCTCATCCGTGCCAGTGGGAGTATCGGAGGTTCAGCCTCGGGCGAATCGTCATGCTCACCAGCTATCAGAAGCTCAAGTGTGTCAATATTACTCAAAGCCTGGTCAACCTCACCAGCATCTACCAGCGCCTCGCACGACGCAACACCCTCAACAATATGTTTCAGTTGGAGAACCGCATCATTGAGGGCCTGCACATTTTCTCTCCGCCGGCGCTTCTGAACGATATTCAGACCCTTGGTGGCGATCTCCTCGTCCAAAGCTTCAAGTTCCTTACGAAGCGCCCTGATACGATCGACCGACTCCGCGGCTTCTGAATGGAGCTCGCGCAATGAGCCGAGAGCCGTAAAAAATGTCGTTGAGGCTGTCGATATAGAGTTAATCAAATGAACCTCAATGGTGTCCATATACCAGGAGAGTTTCTCCTGTAGAATGGCGTTGGTGGCCAAGGCCTTTCGCGGTGCTACTATGTTGCCATTGCCATCATTTTTGTTGTCCACGCTCCCCGGTGCAGGCGGAACAACCTCAGACCGTTCACTGACGACATCAAACGTCCTTGGGTTCTCTAGATGAAAGCCATCGTCAAAGTATACGTTCGGTATCGTCGACAACGGAGGCGGACCATGCGCGCCCTTTTTGCTATAGCCTGAACTGGATCGTCGCAAAAGCCCTGGACCTTCGAGAGAAGATATCGACGTTATTGATGCGATGGAAGATTTCCGCCTCGAGGGCTGCCGACCTGCGGGCTTGAGATGACTCTCATCAATGGAATCCCCAAACTCGTCGTGTTTGCTCGACCGACGGCCTGAAGACCCGGGCCTGTCATCGTCTTGTTCCTTAACTCGCCGAAGCTGTTCGTATAGGGCGCCAACTTGCGACAGGTACGGCTTAAACTCAGCGGGATCGATATGCGGAATGTTCGTCAAAGTCACGGGAGGAATATCGCGAGCGGTAGGAGGTTTATGTGCGCTGGACGCAGGAGCAGAGGTATGAGGCTGTAGGCCCGTCCGAACGATGGGCGGTTGTAGCAAGGTTGATATGGCTGGAGACTTGTCAGCACGTATTGCGGCATCTCCAGTTCATCGGTAATACCGTTTTGACCAGATTCCAGCACCGCGTTTGCCCAGCTGCTGGATGAAGTATCAAGGGACCCCCCTATAGAGTGTATGGAGCTCGCAGTCGAGCCTCGTCTCGCGGTATGGTAAGTGTGAGCCTGTCCCTGTCTTGCTGCTGTTAGCGCAACCGTGGCCACCGAGGGGCCGGGCAAAGTAACCAACTTGTGGAACGGGAACTCGGTGCGCGTGGCCGGAGGAGACATGGACGAAATCGTGTCCATGGACTTGCGGGCGCTTGGAGAGGAATACATGGTGTAAAGCAATGGCTCGGAATACGAGCGGCTCAACGCTGAGTCTGGACCTCGATCGTTTGCTGAGAGTCGCAGGGAAAGTCGACAAATAGATAGGTCGACGGCCACGTAGCCAGGCTACCGGGGTATCATTGCTGGGAGGTTCTCATAGAATAGGGAAGTTCAAGAAAGATGGCTAGCAATAATTATCACTGATCAAGGACAAGACTGAAGAAACGACAGATTACAGCTGGTCTTTGCGCATGCTTCACTATGCTGAGCCACGTTCCCGAGAGGTAGCCTGCACTCAAGGGACCCCCCTAAGGTACCCGCAGAATAGGTACTAGTGCTGTCTGGGGAATGCTGCTGATACATCACGTGGGGATAAGATAAGGCCGAAGGTTATCTGCATGCATCAGTACGTACCTCAGACACCTCAGGGTTGGGCAGGGGACTCCAAAAACGCGCTAACAAACCACTTAACGCGTCCAGGAAAAGGGGCGCGTTCGGTCGAATTTGGTTCCCCTGCGCAACCCAGAGCCCCTCCTTCCATCCACATTTGCAGTCTCAATCCTCAGCATCGCTTCGTGAGCAACCACAACTCAGCTCCAAGCGCTACTATGGACAGACAATCAATTTATTCATCGCACGTCTTCCCGGCGACGTTCGACCAGAACGATGACAGCAGGGTCCAGACCCAGACCCAACTAGAGAACTTTATCCTCCACTTCAGACACGACAATGACTACATCTACAGGTTAGACCGACTGTTCCAGTGGCACCTTTTGGTTTGGTCGCATTGCTTACAATTTTGTGTAGAAACCAACTCAAGGAGAATGCGCTTCTCAAGAAGCACTACTGCGATGTCGAAATCAGCGACCTTATCAACTACAATGAGGAGCTTGCGCATAGACTCGTAACAGAGCCCGCCGAAATCATTCCATTGGTTAGCCACCGTCGTGCGATCCAACCTCCGGAAGTTTACTAACTTGGCCGTCAACAGTTCGAGGCTGCGCTCAAGAAATGCACTCACCGCATCGTATACCCTCAACTGACAAAGGTCGACCTGCCAGAACACCAGCTTCTGCTCCACTCCAACGCCGAGGATGTGTCGATTCGCAACCTAGACTCCATGACAATCTCGCGCCTCGTCCGAGTGCCGGGCATTGTGATTGGTGCCTCTGTAATGTCCTCCAAAGCCACGGCGCTGTCTATTCAATGCAGGAACTGCGCCCACACTGCGAATCTGCCTGTCCTCGGAGGATTCACTGGCGTCACCCTCCCAAGGCAGTGCGGCAGACAAAGAATACCTAACGATCCCACACCGAAATGCCCTCTTGATCCATACTTCGTTTCACACGAGAAGTCCAAGTTCGTCGACCAGCAGATCATCAAACTACAAGAGGCCCCGGATCAGGTTCCTGTCGGAGAACTCCCGAGACATGTCCTGATTTCAGCAGATCGCTACCTGACCAACCGCGTCGTCCCTGGTTCGAGGTGCACGGTCATGGGCATCTTTTCCATCTACCAGAATAAGGCAACCAAGAACTCAAACACCGGTGGCGCGGTGGCTATCCGTACGCCATACCTGCGAGCGGTAGGCATTCAGACAGATATGGACCAGACCGCAAGAGGCCAAGCCCTCTTCTCTGACGAGGAAGAGCAAGAATTCCTCGAGATGAGCAGACGGCCCGACCTGTACAACATTATGGCAGAATGCATAGCGCCATCTATCTACGGCAACGTAGATATCAAAAGGGCCATTCTGTGTCTGCTTCTGGGCGGCTCGAAGAAGATTCTGCCCGACGGCATGAAACTCCGCGGAGACATCAACGTTCTGTTACTTGGTGATCCCGGTACCGCCAAGTCACAACTTTTGAAGTTTGTGGAGAAGTGTGCGCCAATTGCCATTTACACATCCGGAAAGGGCTCTTCAGCAGCTGGTCTCACAGCCTCGGTGCAGCGTGATTCCTCAACTCGCGAGTTCTACCTCGAGGGAGGTGCTATGGTCTTGGCCGATGGCGGTGTTGTCTGTATCGATGAGTTCGACAAGATGCGCGATGAGGATCGCGTGGCTATCCACGAGGCCATGGAACAGCAGACAATCTCGATCGCCAAGGCTGGTATCACTACAATCCTCAACGCGAGAACTTCAGTGCTAGCTGCGGCCAACCCGATTTTCGGTCGTTACGATGACATGAAGACTCCTGGCGAAAACATTGACTTCCAGACCACCATCTTGTCAAGATTCGACATGATCTTCATCGTCAAGGACGAACACACGAGAGAAAAGGACGAGAGAATAGCAAAGCACGTCATGGGCATCCACATGGGTGGCCGAGGCGTCGAGGAACAGGTTGAGTCTGAGATCTCAGTTGACAAGATGAAGAGGTATCTCAGCTATTGCAAGTCGTAAGTGTCGTCCATTCTCAAACCTGCTGAAGCCATACTAACAACAGATTCTAGACGCATGGCCCCTCGTCTTAGTCCCGAGGCAGCTGAGAAGCTCTCGTCCCACTTCGTTTCCATCCGCAGACAGGTCCACGCGGCCGAGATGGAAGCCAACACAAGGTCTTCTATCCCTATCACAGTTCGTCAACTTGAGGCTATTGTTCGTATTACCGAGTCGTTGGCCAAGTTGACGCTGTCTCCTATTGCAACGGAGGAACACGTAGACGAGGCCATCAGACTGTTTTTGTGTTCCACGATGGATGCCGTCAACCAGGGCAGCAACCAGGGAAGCAAGGAGCTCAACGAGGAAGTCAGCAGATTAGAGACAGAACTCAAGCGTCGTCTCGCTGTTGGATGGGGCACGAGTCTCGCGAGTCTGCGGCGGGAAATGGTCGAACAGAAGGGGTACAGTGAGCAGGCCCTCAACAGGACGCTGATGATTATGCAGAGGAGGGATACAATCATGTTCCGGAACCAGGGCGCGCAGGTGTACAGAAATGCAATTTGAGGTCGGCAATGATTCATGGGCTGCTTTTGGTACTCCGCGTCAGTGCGGTAGATGGGTTGAGGGATACGGCGGCAGCACTCTGCATATGAAAGAAATGATAATACCAAGCCTTTGTAACGGGACACGATTTGGGAGTCTTGAAATGTCACCTGTTGAGAAGCAAATGCAAGTGCAGCACCAGTGTGATATGCCATCTTTGATTGCCTAGCAAACCTAGCTACTGACCCACGATCAGGGTTCACCTCTCCCCAAGCCTACCAGCTTCGTGGAAGACACACAGTCATGGGTTGGATGAGCCATCTCGCATCGGAGGGCAGTCTACTCTCTAGAGCAGATGCCTCGGTAGAGTGGTTTTGTTGGAACACTGTGTGGACCTGGATGACGGGAAAACTGTTAGCCGCATGAGCTGGAAGATTCCGCGCGCTTCCAAAAGTTGTGATAACAGAGCGATTCAGATATGCCAGTTTTCCGCAGGCCCAACCCGGTCAAGTGCATTGGCCGAAGCCGCCGCACTCGCGGCTGCGCGATCGGTTTACCAGATGCATGGGTGTCATCCGTATCTCTTCATTTTGACGTGATCTTCTATGTATTGCGTACCTTTGGACGTTGAAGGAGTCACGTTCGTGACCAGACGCGTGGCGCTTCTCCCTATATGAAGCTCTGCTACAAGCGTGCCACGAATGGAAACATCACATCACATATATCAATGTGGGAGAGATAGAGCCTCAAATAGAGGGCATGTCCCTTGCATCAGGTGATCATCGCATCATGGGAAGCCGCACGAGGGGCCCTCGCAGACGATTGTTTTTAACAAGGTGAGAGTTCATCTCGACTCATCCTCAGGAATCGTCCAGCAGCGTAGAAGGCGATGTGAAATCGTTGCAAGCTGGCGATGATTTGAATAAGGTGGTCTTGGTTTGTGAAGAGAAGAGAGAAAGTAGGTGGCTGCTCTTGGCTCTCGAGCTTTAAAAATTGCAGAGCCTGCCCGGCCCGTTCTGCGTTGTGGGGCTGATGTAGAACCACGTGACTCTGAAGCGTCGTGGCTTGGATGTGGCACGGCGGGCATGGTTACCTTGAGGCTTGCACGCCTTGGTATTGTTACTTTTGGCACCTTGGTCTGCTTATGTAAGATGTTATCCGTGCTGGTCAGGCTGGTCAGGTACGCTGCCTGCCGGTTGCCTGATCCGGCCACGCCCCTCCCATGGTGAATGCGTACCAGCGTGGTGCAACCTCAACTCCAAAGAGTCCAGCCGTCAGGGCCCGGTGATCGGGTGTCGGGTGTCGGAGCACGGTGGCCATGGTTTCCTAGACAATTCACTGGTGGAGGGGGGCCTTGCTTTGGCTCCGGTCCCAGAAACAGCAGACTCTCACCCCCCTGGTTGTGTCAATCTCACTCCCTCCACTCTCCCAGTCTCTCGCTCTCTCTCTCCCAGATTCTCCCACTCCCGCGGCAAACTGCCATTGCTCACTCCCTCTTCCGCCGCCGTCGGGACGTAGGTACTCACACCCTCCCCCCCCTCCCCCATCTTCCCTCCCTCCCGCCCTCTGAACCTAACCGGCCCAGGCTTACCTCACCCTTACCGTAGCGGTACCTAGCCGGCCCAGTGTCTTTGCCAGTGCCAGCCATCACAACCCACGGCCCAGCCAGTCCCAGCACCGTACCAGCCCAGGCGGCCACCCCCGTTAAGCGAGCAAATTGCCTCGCTCATGTGTCCGCCCCCTTCACTCTTACGCTGCGCCATTCAGACTTCACTTCTACCAACTCCACCACGACCTGACGGCTTGACCACGGCACAAATCGACCACCGACCCTCGACAGCACTCTATCGCCGTCGGATTACTTTCGCTACGAGTGTATTTGCTGGATATCGTCATCAGGAAAATTTTTAACACCCACGACAAGGCGCCGACGATCCACGAGGAAGCCGAGAGTGGTGCATGACGCTGCATTGGGGGATTGAGAGCCGTCGGCGGTTTGGCGCGACTCGCCACAACAACCCCCTCATCCTCTGATCTCGCCCAGAGCGAACATTCCTATCGAGTGCATCGTGGAATCCGGTTG